GGCTAATCCATAGAGCTAATTCCAATGGGAATGCCAAATCAACTCAATTCATTTAACTAATGGTGTCTCGGTGTTTGATTGATTCGTAAGAAGTAAGGGACTAATTTGATTGTGTTGGACAAACGCATACCCCATGACAATTCTACAGTCCATCAAGAGCCCACAACCACGTCCGCACTCAATCTAGTCAAACCAAACACTTTACACTATGAGGAAGAATGAAAGAGAGTCGATTTCACTTACCCAAGAGGAAATTTTCCTTGGATTAGCCAACTAAAAGTCTAGCTACTCATAGTAAAGGAAAGAACAGGATTCAAGGGGAAGATAGTCGCGAGAAAATCTGATTCCATAGTCAAGGCTAAGACAGACCCTATGTTTACTTCGCGATAGTCTTAGCTCGACATTGTCAAGCCATACTATCTATCCAAATGGATTTGAAACTGACATTCTATCCTATATATCGGAGATATAAGGTTTGCACTTCCGCTTATGGTAACCGAACTTGGTAACCAAACTCTATGGGAAGAAAAATTGTTATGAAATGAAACATGAAATTTTTATTGATTCAAGAAAAGGTTTAAACTGCAAGAACAAAGTCATTCATAACCAATATACAAAGCTTGAAGATAAAATATCCAAATGTAGAAATGGAAATATAAGAACACTTAACTAAGCTTGATTACAACTTAAATAAAAGAGTTTAGAGTGAAAGAGAGAAAGATTACAAGTAAAATAAAGTTACTACAATGAAAATGGTGAGGAAATGTAAAAACCCAAATTTCTCTCTCTAAAACTTCATCTTCAACCTTGGAGCTTGTCTCTCTAAAAGTATGTAAAAAATGAATAAAGGTGTAAGACTTCTCAAAATTTGTCCATCCTCTCTCCCTTAGGATGTGTGAACTGAATTGGAATGATTGGAGAGAGGTTTGACACTTGAACAAGCAAAAATAGTCCAAGCATGCTCCTCCCATGCTTTCCTAACCACCCCTCTTCTCTCTCTTGCTTCTCCCATCTCACTTACTTCAAATCTAAATTTAGGGGATAGGAGAGCATCATGGGGTGTCAAACAAGTCAAGGTATGGTTTGAAAGACAAGAGGTGGGCCCCCAGAATAGGTAAAGTCGTGTGAACAGGTGTCTGGCAGATTTGGGAAAAACCTACCAGGTAGGTTTTTTCCAGTAAGCTTTTCTATCGGTAGGTGTTTTTGCCTGGCAGAGGTAGAAGATTTCTAGTAGCATTTTCTACCGGTAAGTTTTGAATGACTTCTACTGGTAGGTTTTGATTGCCTTCTACTGGTAGGTTTTGTCCTGCTTTGGGATTTCCTTGGTTCCTTGAGGTCTCGAGTCATCTGTTAAGTGGTCCCTTCTTCCCCATTGACTTTGAGGACTTGGTGGGAGGCTTTATACATGACCTTACCTCTTCTTTACCTACAATCACATGAATTTCCATTAATTGTGAATTTAAAAGCATTTTCCCCAATTTTCACAACAAAACAAGTAAAATGGGTGCAATAGAGATGTGTGATGTGCAATATTCTATACTCATTAGTAAGATGTGAATAGAAGACCTAGTTGGATAGATATTGACTTTCGAGGTGAATCTTCTTTCACCCAAAAAATCAAAGGGCATTTAGTTGAGTTCTATTCAAGAAAAAGGATATAAATTTGGGTTACCTTACTTGGGAGGGGAGGAAGTAGCCTATATTTGAAAATTTTTCAAAAGGTATTTAAAGGTTAATGAGACCTCTAGGTTGAAAGGGAAGATGAGTAGACCAAAAACTCTTGAGGATAAAAGGGAAGATGAGTAGACACTCGCTTTCAAAGAACTTCTCGACAAGAGGTTGAGAAGAAAGGATAAGGCCTCTAATGAATTGAGTGTCAAGGTGTTGGACACATGGCTACGGAGTGCCCTAGTAGAAAGAAGAAAGACATGCCCAAAGAAAATAGGAGAGCAAAAAATCCTAAGTAGAGGGACATGAGTTGTGAGTCCACATTGAGTGAGAGAACTCTTCCTCTCAAGAAGATGAGGAAAATTTCACGGCCTTTGTTAGTTCATGTTCCTCTCCCCCAAGAAAAACTTCAAGAAGTGAAGTTGAGAATGTTGAAGCAAGTCCTACCATAGTGGTAAAAGACTTGAATGAAGAAGTCCCCACATGTCAAGAGGACATGGAGAGTTTTGAGGATATACAAGATGCATATGATCAATTGTATATTCAATTCCTCAAACAACAAAGAAGAGTGCTTATCTTAATTGGTAGAGTTAACACAAGTGAAGAAGACCAAAAAACACTCCATGTGTACTTAGTGAAGTCAAAGACTAATATTTATGGGCTCGAGGAAGAGAAGAAATCTCTTTAAGAAAAGTGAGCTTCCTTGAAAGCGAGTGTCACGAACTAATTGAAACAAAAAATATTTGTGTATTAATCTTGATAAAATTAGATAAAAACCTTCATGAATCAAATGAATCTCTAAGACACTTTCCCTAGGATTGAAAAAGTTGAACAAGATAGGAAGAGTGTTGGTGACAAGTGGGGCTTAGAGTACACTAATTAACACACCACTACCATATCTCCCAAAACCATGTTTGTGAAGGGTAATTCTAACTTGTCATCCCCACGAGTGAACACACAGCCACCTAAAATTAAAAATGGTAAGGGTATACACTTATAGAATACAGTTATTAAGGAATCCAAGCCAAACAAATTGCCAGTTACACTTGTGGACAAAAATAGGAAATTCTTGAACAAGAAGCTCATGCATCTAGCTAGCCAATCCAAAGCCTTGAGTGGTCAAGTCATGCATCTTACTAGGCAAATAGAGAGGTCACTTGAGTCAAAGCGTACATGTGCATCATCTTCAAATTTGCCTTATCTACATCCAGAGAGAAGAAAGTAAGTCCTACACCCATTTCCCAACCAAACCCGAGCAGTTGGAAGGGAAAGCAAGTTTGGATGAATTGAGAGATCGTAGAGAGGCTGACTACCTCAATCAAGTTGGATGCCCCAAATGCTTCCAACAAGGTTGAGTCACCTAAGAAGTAGGTGAGGTGAGAGTGTGGACCTAGGTTGATAGTCATCCATTCCATAAAACTCCCTAGGTTTATGCACTATAAATATTTTAATTTGTTTATTTTTCACTTTGTTTTCATTAACAAAAACTGCAAAAAATGGAAATAGAAAATCTAAAAGATTTTAGATGTCTAGTTACACATTCTTCTTAGGATTTATGGTAAATTATTTTTATTTCCTTTCTTGTTGCATGGTTGTGCATATTTTTTGTTTTAGGATTTATGAAGAGTTCAAAAATATTGCAAAAAGAAAAATTACAAAATGATTTTATTTTGTTATCGATCATGGTAATTCACACTTTGATTTGTTTTATAATGATCCCATCCTTTAATCAAAGTTGAAATGTGCATTACTATGAGTCATATTAGGGGATAGAACACTCAGCGATTATAAGTCTTAGTGCTTGATTCTTGAACCAAAGTCTCTTTCGCGCTAGCTGGCTTGCACAGTGTTTCCCTTTGAAAAATTTACAAAACCAAAATGTGTGTCAACCATTTACCTTCATACTTAGGAGTCTTGCTAGTTTTAATGTTTAATAACTTTATATAACTATAATTTTTTATGATAGGTCAATACATGGCTAAAGGTTAGTAAAGCTCATATCCCTTAAAAAGATGTAAAAGAGCCAGTTATGAGAAAATAACCCCATGTGGCCAATCTTAAAAGTGAGGTATAAAATAAATGGCTAAGTAACAATTGCACGTGAATTGTTGAGGGTACAATATGCTTAATGTCATTGCTAACTTGTAAAGCTCCAAAAGCTTAAGCTACACACGTTTAGAAGCATACTTGTGAAGTACGAAATTCATAATTGTTCAAATTGAAGCCATAGGAGTAGAAAAGGATATAAAAATAAGGTGAGTGCACAAAAAAAATATTTCTTAGGACTCTCACTAACTAGTCATGTTGTCTCATAGATGATGCCTTAAGAATTTAGGTAGAGCTATATTAATGATTTAAGCTAGACGAATTCCTAATAGGATCGAAATTTGGTTTCACACACGTTGCAGATGAGTTGATCAATGTTGAACAAAATTTGAATACGTGTAAGTGAAATTGATCTAGAACTCATCCTACCTCTTCTTGCATTACCATGATCTATAACTCATCCTGCAACGATTCTAAGTGCATTTCAACTTTGGATTTATGTTATTCACTTATTTTTGCACATTATCACCAATAGTGTTTGGAAAAATGCATCCAAGAGTTGAGAAACAAGAAAGGTATGCACAATTAATGAGAGGAGTCTCTTCTAGAGTCCTCATTATCATGATATATACAATAGATAGTTTTAGTTCTGATCATGCAATGGTGGAACATAGTGTAAATTTCAACGGGGTAAGTAATTCTTCTATCCTTACGAATTTTTGAGTCAAGAGGATGGATTGGACTATTCGTGGTCCCTGCACTAGCGAATGATTCCATGGTTAGGGAATTCTATGCACACATTAGGAACACTATAGTTGATTTTGAGCATTTCACAATCTATTTTTGAGGTGTATTATTTTAGTTCTCAGTAGACTGAATTGCCACCACCCTACAGCTACCACGGTCATCATGATGCCTATCATCACAAACCAGATAGTGCAATGCCCATGCTTAATCATGTTGAATCAAGTTCTAGGGAGCCCTTTATCCTAATGGTTGGGATCGATAGAGATGGTTTCACCAGGACTTAGCTAGGAAGTACCATATGACCAATTTGATTATCAAATACAACATTGATCCAAAAAACCATGTACCCAGTTTTCCTACTTCACGAGCTTATCTTTGGCATGTTGTTGGAACAAGCTTGGATATAGACTTACCGTGACACATATTTTAAGTTATTCAGAGAGCCTATTATAAGGGTATGGTTAGCGATGGTTAGCCATTTGGTTACCTGATCACTTAGATTCGTTTGAATAAGGGCAATTTCTTTAGAGACTAATCAAATGAGGAAACCGAGGAAACCAAGGAAACCTCTTAGGAAAGAGTCCATGCGACTGAGTGAGACACGCATAGAATATGTGGTTGATCCCATGGAGGTAAAGGTAGAGGAAAAGGAGATGGAGCTTGAGACACCTGCTCCTACCTTTGAGCTTGGACCATCGTCTAGTGCACCAACACCAATGCACACACAAGCTAGTACTTCTCTTGCACCACCGCATAAGACTACACCTACATATTTTTTTGCTCAGTGGGCCATAGTTATGGATGCATTAGGACATATTCAAAGAAATGTACATGAGTAGCATAGTTTCACGACTCTACGATTGGATTCTCTTAATGGGAGTGATTGGGATCGACACAGAGCAACAAGCTATTAGACGAGATTTGTGGCATGTCAAGCAGTTGTTGAAAAATGCTGGATTTATTGATGATGACGATGATCCTAAGACATAGCCACATGGCAAAGATGGTGATGGTGATGATGCAACTACAAGAGCTATTTAGGAGACTTAGTATTGGACCATATAGGAGCTTTTAGTGTTTTTATTCATTCATGGGTCTGTGCTTAAGTGCTCTGTTATTTTTACTTGTAGACTTTGTGCTTTATCTGTTTGGATTTTGAGTTAAGTTTCATGTTTGTCCTTTTCTTTTTTCTATATGCCTATATTTGCTAATTTGATTGTATTGGTATCATCTTTCTAGACGATGAATCTATACCTTGATTGTTATAATATATCATTGGTTTGACACTATGACACAAATGGGAAGAATATTTTAGAGTAACATGATTCTGTACCATGATGGTTGATGAGCATGTAATATTGCATCTTTAATAGCCTTATTACACATTTTAACTCAACTCTGCATTTAATAACTTAGAGTTAGTCAAATTTGTGAATAATGTGAAAATTTTGATGTTGCGGGTAATCATAGGGTAAATGATGGTTTTTGGAACCCTACAACTAAGTGTGAATGACTGGTGAAGAGATGAACACATTATATGAGAATTTGGAGGCTTCAAAAGTGAAAGAAATCAAGGAGGAACTGGTATCTGAGCCTACTAGAATATTGGTACTAGTACCCGCACCATTTGGTACAGTACCGCGGTATTTCCCATTTTTGACCATGATCCACTACGAATCTAAAAATGTGAAAAAAGTAAAAGTTGTAGATCTAGATGTCCTCTATCTTGACTCAAAATTTCAGATGAATAGGACAGTAGGATCAAAATTTAGGATAAATCCACAACATTGCCATCGAGGTAATGGTTCTTATAGTTAAAAAAAAACATGGGTCAAAGTTGGGATTTGACTGAGAATAATCCACATTTTCCAATAGATCTATATATATCTCTCTTACAGAAGTTTTTGGAGGAAGTAAGGTTAGAGAGGGAGGCTACCTAAGCTTAGGAGTAGTGTAGAGAAAGAAGGCTAGGGTTTTTGCTTTTCCTTCACCATTATCATTCTTGTAAGCTTCAATCTACATGTAATCCTTCTTTCTAGAACATCAATCTCATTTATTTCAAGTTGTATTAAGTTTAGCTAGGGTTTAATAGTTCCATTGTTTACATTTGGGTATTTCTCTTCAAGTTTTACATTTTGAGTATGAATGTCACTTCCTTTGTAGTTTAAACTTTCTCTTACATTAATACAAGTTCATGTTTGATTTCATTACCATGTTTTTCTCTTTCATGTTTGTTCCTGACTTTATTATGAGTAGCTAAACCTTTAGTTGGTTAATCCAAGAGGAATTTTTTCTTAGGTATGTGGAATCAATTTTCTTTCATTCTTCCTCCTAGTGTAAAGTGTTTGATTTGACTAGGTTGAGTGTGGATGAATGTGGTTGTAGTATTTTGATGCACCGTAGACTTGTCACGGGGTATTCTCTTGTCCAAGCAACTACATTCATCTCTCGCTTCCTACAAATCAATCAAACACTTAGGCACTATTGGTAGAATGGAATGAATTGATTTGGCAAACCCATTTGAATGAACTCTATGGATTAGTCAACCCTCTTTTTACTTGCATATTTCTCACAACCTAAATCACCAAACTTCAAATCACAACATTTTCCATTTTTCCCTTCCAAAATTCAATTTCGAAAACACTTGATCTTTCTTTCCCTAAGGAGACGATCGAGTTAAAACACGACACTATAAGTCTCTCTACCCTCGGGGAGTATTTTTGTATATTCACACAAGTTTTGTTCATCCATACATAATTTTCCTACATCTTGCACGAGCTTGAGTGAGAGTGACACTCACCCTTCATTATAAGCCATACACATAATCAGGTTCGTGTGAGAAGCAAGGGAAACAACCAAGCAATGGTGATGATATGTCACTGGTTTGACACTTTCTAACAAAAAAGGGGGAGAATATTTTAGAACAATTGAGGAAATTTTGGAGAAATTCTCATGACTAGCTTGGATGAGTTGTATGTGAATAAAATATTGGTTAGTTTGTTCTAATATTGAAGGGGAGTACATACACAAACTTGACATGAAGTCACATATGTTCTTTGTCCATTTTATAGTTGTTCTTTACTATTAAATTATCATTACTATATTCATACGTTCTCAAGCATATTGTGTGAGTATTTCTTACATATATATTTTGTAGTTGCATGATGTTAACATAAAAATGCTCTATGCTTCTCATGTTACTTACCATACATCTGATTATGTTATACCTCTCATACATATTATGTTTTTTCACAAGATATTGGTTTGAGAGGTGATGTACAAGACTATAATCTTGAAAGCATTTATCAGAAGACAGTTCTTGTACATAATATTGAGATTTAGAGACTCGTAAAGGAGTGTTGAGATGAGGTTATAATTCATTTTGTTCTAGTGATTTGCAGATTGTAATATTAAATTTCTTATTTCTATATTGTCACGAAATTGCCAAAGGGGAAGATTGTTGGCATAATGTTTGTAATTGTCTAATTTCATGAAGTCTTTTTATAAATCTCAACCTATTCCATAGTCATGAGGCTACAATGTTGAAGATCCGAAATAGTCAATACAAGGGAGGAGATTGTGCTTCAAGCTACATTGAAAGACTTTTCATATGCACCTTCTTGCTTAAGACAACGGTAATGACCTAGAGACCTTAGCACCCTTGGTTTAGTTTTTAGACTTAGGTTTATTACATCAAATTGAATCGATCATTTCTTTGTTAATGAATCCAAGGTGTTTTTCAAGAAAAGTTTTTTCTAAACCTTAAATGTGTTTTGAAAACATAGACTTGAGTTGTTAATCGGACCTCACTTGAGCAAGACTCTTTAGTGCTCAAGGGGACAAGTTTTTGCTTGTTTTCTAACATAAAAATTAGTGAGAACCACCCTATATTTGCTAATCTTTGTTAGAGTAGTCTCTAAACACTTAGGGATAATATCAGGAAAGGTTGAAATAGTGGGAACCCACCCTAGCATTAATGTCGTCATTGTCTTCCACCATTGTTGCCACCATCATCTTAATTACCACCTCATAGCCATTGTTACTAGTCTAATGCAATTACCACCAACATTTATATTTCCATGACCATAACAACTGCCACCCCTTCCTATACCACCGCTACCCCATCCCACTACCTAGTCATCGTTGCCACCATCTTTTTCATTACCACCATCACCATCAACCTAACTACTACCACCTGAACACTATGGTCATGGATGTTGATCGTTGCCACCATCTTTTTCATTACCACCATCACCATCACCATCAACCTAACTACTACCACCTGAACACTATGGTCATGGATGTTGCTGGTGACAATGGTGGGATGTGGTGACAATAGTGGGGATAGAGGTGGAAGGAGTAATAGTTGTGGTGGTTGCGGTTGGCTGATATAATAGAAGGTGGTGGTAGTGAGGGTAATGACAATGATATTGATAGTGACGGCATGATAATGATATCGTGATGGATGTAGTGATAATGGTTGTGGGGGTGATAGGATAGTGATGGTGTTGGTGTAGGGATGGTGTTAGCGGTAGTAGGGTGGTGGAGGTGGTGATTGATTAACCCTACAAAGTGCATCACTGAATTAGGTTTTAGGGTTAATTGTGTGTGTTAATTGAAGTAAAGTGTTTAATTTGAATTATATTATGGATAATGTTTGAATAACATGTTTTGTAGGGTTTCATTTGTAAATATAGAGAATTGGAGAGATAAAGTGAAAAGAAGGAAAAGAAAGGGGCAAAGACAAAGAGAAGAATCAGCAAGGTACCATCCAGATGGTGAATATACCATCCCAACGGTGGCCAAAGTCAAAAAGTCAACAAAGGAGGCTGTAAGGCAAAATTCCAGAGATATAGTACCGTCCGGACAGTGGTGGTGGTGGCTGCACTTGCTTAACCAACTTGCTAGCTTCTTGTGGCCTATAAATCGGCATGCTAGAAGGACATTTGGAACAACTTCTTCTCCACTTCACAAGCCAAGGCCCTTGGAGGAAACCACCTTACTCTAAGCACTCCTTAACCCCAAAAATCTCTTCTTCTACATTTCTTTTACTTCCTTTCTATTTGGAAGGTTGAACCTCTCTCACTTTTTCACCTTAGTTCGATAATAAGAGTGGAGGTGTTTCAACCATTTCTCAGGGAAGGATTCTTTGTGTTTTGTTTTGTATTTACGAATGGGATTCACTTACTCTTCTTGCTCGTCTATAACAATGAGGAGTGAGTAGTCTTTCTTTTAATCTTTAGTGAAGGGTGAAGACATGTGTAACACTGTTTCAATAATGAAATATGGTGTTCTATTTATGCTTTAATATTCATACCTCCCTAAAAAGGTGGATGATTTTTATTATGTTTTGTACTATGTATTATTATGTATGACTTAGGTTATGCTCATGGTTACAAGTACTGAACTAGACTTATTTCTATTCACCATTTCATCTATACTCTATTATGTGCTTCATGCACAATACAATGATGCACATAGTTGGAATTTATGTAATAGTCATGAAATTGATTATATATGGGTTAAGTCTTTCCATAGCCAATGCTTTTGATTCAATGTATGAACTAGAACTCCGTCTTCATTGAACCATAGACCTACTAATCGAATAGCTCTAGTAAACCTTTTGAATGGCTCACCTTTAGGTTTACTATGGTTATTAGTTTGTTGCAAGGTGCACAAACCTTCTGCCTAACTTAACTATTGTTGTCATATGGTTCAACATATACATTAGACCTACCAGTTAACTTTCTGTTGGCACAAGAGTTAATTTCTGTAAGTTAACATTTTCATAGTCAAGCAATAGAATGCATGTTGGATCCCCAAACTAAAGAGCATCTTTTCATTTGTTGTAATCAAAGTTTAGTGTAAGTGTTTATTTATAAGTTTTAAGTTCACATCACAAGTTGTGGTAATGCGTACTGTTCGCACGACAATTTCACCCTTTGTGTTTTAAAGTTCCAATAGATAACTCCCTGTGCACTCAACCTCGG